TCCTTATGCGAATTAAATATTCTTATTTTAGTCTGCTTAAGTAGCTGCTGATGCTGTTGAGTGTCTTTTGATCTTTTAATTTGCTGCATAAACACAATTTGAATCAAAGGCCCACCGACTGCCAGTTCCGCCTCCTCCACGTGTCAAAATATGTGTGTAATATGTAAAGTATGTGAGAGGTGTAATTGTGTTGAAAGGATGCATCAACACGATCTTGTCAAAAGATGGAGAGATGGAGTGTGACAGTGAGAGAGTGAGAGAGAGAGTGTATTATTTATGTCTTTATATATTTATATTCGGGTATTTGCTTGATCATAAAACTGTTCATGATGTTCAGTTAAAGATTGAATGCGCTGCGCTTAATTCCTTTAATGAGCTCCATTTCATGTCTCTGCTCAGAAGATTTCTTATATAACCTCAACTCTATAGAGATTGGTTGTTAGTTAGATTTATTCACATTTCGTGGCAGCTCTTCGCTAGAGACCACCTCGACTTCTCGCTTGAGTCTCGGACACTTAATAAAACTTTGACTGCAAGACAAAACCTTTTCGGGTCGTCGTTCCACTTGGCTAAATACGGAAGTTGAATTTTTGCATTTTTATTTTGCGCAACATACTCTTCTGAGCTGAACTGAGAAATCACTTGTGTTACGATCCCAGCATTGTCTGGCATTCCTGCCTTGGCGGCCTTTAATAACATGTCATTATCGTCATATTTGTTTATAAAGTTCAGTCCACCTGTATATTTAATTAACACTTCTTGCCAACACAAATGCACTGCTTAAAATTATCATAAGAATTTCAGAGATTGCAGCTGAAATTTAAATGAAGTTCAAGTGATTTCTACATATATTGTTTATGTTCGAGAAGTACTAGATATATGATTAATAAAGTGAGTTATGTGCGAGAGTCGCAATTTGCTATACAAACAGACCATATAGAGGGCCTACTTTAATGTATGAGAATGGCATAGAAAGGCTCAGTTGAGGGATAGACTTGCAGCATATAAGACCGAAGCTTTTAATATAAAATAATAGTTTTATTCATTTAAAGTTTTCCTTTTTTTAGTGTTGCATATTTATTATTAAATTTCTCAGTCCAATTCACGACTGTATATATGTATGTATTTCTCTTTGAGTTCTAGCGCAAAGTTGATGAATTGATGCGAGACAAACGACTTTTGCACATGGCTAAGCAATTTGTTGTAGTTGGCAACTTATTCAAATGTATGCGCAGACAGAGAAAGGCCATAGAAATATTGTGACAAAGTTATAAAGGCAACTGCAGAGGTATCCCAATTGAAGGTTCCAGCTTAACTGGAAGCCGACGTCTTATAGCAACAAAAGGTGTTTTTTTTTGTATTCTTTTTTTTTTTGTCAATCCCACACAAGCAGCGTAATCTGGTGTCTTGTATAAGGCGAAGAAAAAACCAGTAGCACCCAGGACGAAGTAGAAGAAGAGACTGAGACTGTGACTGTATATGAAAAAAAAAGAGAAGAGAGCTCTCGAATATTAAGCTGACGTCTGTTTTTATGAAGTAAATTATTATTTGATGCGCCGAGCACTTTGTTGATTCTTGTCCCTCTTTGTAGCTGGGTGGGTTAACAAAGGCCTAAATGTGACGATCGTGGGGCGGGCATTGTCAGCGCCGTTAAAACTCTGTCGTCATTTGAAATTGGAACGGATAACGTTTGTCAGCTTAAGTCGATCGCAATATCTGCTCAGGTATTTTCAGTCCAATGATTTAATTATGGCGGGGCGGGCAGACACACACACACAGGCAGAGAGAGAGAGACATCAACACAACTTTCTTTTATACAAATTATTCATTCTTAAATAGTTTTGGGCGACCCAGACGCGCTCCACTGGAGTCAGCTAATCGGTTTATAGTATTACTCTTATGGACTCGTCGGCGGCACAAAGACCGAAACAATAGATCCATTTACAAATGCACTTTCGTTTCATGGAAAAGATATGAAAACTCTATCAGATCGCATTATGGTTGCGATCATTTATATGCACGATGCACATTAAAAATGTGTTAAAGTGATATATTCGTGTTGTACTAATATGTTTTGTATAGGTGTGTATCTATGTATATATGTATATCTAAGTCTAATTTGTAGTATGTGAAGTTTGGTTCTATTTGAGTTCATAATGTAATAAAGCCGAGTAAACTAGAGTCCTCCTCAATGATTTTTCCTGTTTTCTCTTGATGGCTAAGCAAACAAAAGTCAATCAGAGCGACAGGCAGAGTTGTCATGTCAATGTCTTCAGAGTACAGGGTATAAAAGCTTTACACCAAATCGGCTCACTAAAGAACAAGAAACGCCGCTCGAGTCCAAGCGAGAGAGAGAGAGAGAGAGAGAGAGAGAGAGAGAGAGCGCAGCAAGCCCTTAGCTGGCAAGCAAAAATCAAGAGGAAAATCAGTTATCTGTTCAGTTTTCTTGCTATATCCTCTGTACACACACACACACAGGCTATAAAATTAACAATTACTATAACAAACTGTGCCCACTAGCATATTACTGTCATTCACTTCGGCTTTGAGTTCTGTTTAGGTCTGCGAATGCGCTTCCGGTGTGCGTTGCAGGAAAACACGTTTCGAGCAAAATGAAATTTTGCTTTTCAGCTTTTTCGACAGCTTTTATTTTTTTTTCGTTTAGAAGACGCTGAAGCAGAAGAAGAGATCGTCTGCGTTGACATGAGACCAAGAGACCAAGAGACAAAACAGACAACAGACTAAGAGACAAGACAAGGCCAATCAAGACGATGACTACTTTCTGACTTTGACATTGTTACGCGATTAATGAATGATTCGCGACTTGAAGTTGAGTTGACTCTACGCTATAAGTGACTAATATCAATTATAATTTATATACCAGTGTAGCCTTTGCTATCGATATATGTTATATGAATTAGTTATATATATACTATCTGAATTAGTTCTTGAAATCTTGTGAAAGATTGGCTACAAAAATTCCGAATGTTTATACATGCAGCTGGACGGATTGATGGACTACTTTGTAATGAATCGACTGTTAAGCCCTAGGAAGAATGCTGTATATGAACATTTTAAAATTTACATATTATTTAAATTGGCTAATATTTTGCTAGTGAAGAAGATTTGAAAATTTGTAATATGAACCTAAAACCTCTAGAACAAATTTTTTTTCATTGACCGGAACAATATAATTCCCTATATTCCTCAAACTCCATTACTTCAATTAAGTACAATTGTATGAATAAAGAAATCCGAATCGAGAATAAATCTGAGACTTCTAGAATCTGTTTAAGTCAATAAATATATTTTAAAATTTTCAAGAAGATAAAATTTCCGTCTTCTATTCTGGTTCACTTTCTTGATAGTTGACTGTACTTTAGGAAATAGTGCAGCATTATAGTCTGTTATATCTATATTGTTCTTCTGCTCTTAGCTAGGCCACACTATGTATAAAGTGGAACAAAGAGCTTTACCAATAAAAGTTTTTTTTTTGTTTTTTTGTTTTTTAATATATGTATTTTCATTTTTAATTTTTATTCATTATTATTTATATGTATGTAAGTATATATACAGTTGCATTAAGTATATTACACTAACCGCTTAGGGCGCTAAGAACTATGCGAGCTTACAGGCAAATTTGTGCATAAAATACAGCAATTATTCAATATATATGTATGTATATATATATAAGTATATATATAGGTTCGTACACTAAGTATAAGTAGGTAAATCGTGTTTGCCAATTTATCAAATAAATACATACAATACAAATACAATACAATAAATTAGATTTACAAACGACAGGAACAAAGTTTGAACTTAAGACAATAAAAACAATAAACCACTAAATCAATCATTGCTCGCATTTACTTTCATATTTGGTTTGGGTGAGGGCGGGATTTCCAGGGCTTAGGATTGGAGATATGTGATATGTTTTCTTACATTTTTTTTTCATTTATTTTTTTATTTTATTTTTTTCATATATTTTTTTATGATTTTCGATTTTGGTTTTCCACCCGTTATACAAGCAAGAAGAGAAAAATAATATATATATATAAGATATTGAAAGATATTGATCTATTTTACATACATAGAGATATCGCATAGATCAGCATCTGTAGCCCATTCTTGGTGAAAATAAATTTTGTGGCTCGAATCGCACAGAGAATTGAAATGGGAGTGTGTATTTCAGGCGGTATGTGGGGATTTCTTGGGGTTTCCTGTTGTCTCGAGATACTTATTTAACTGCTTTTTCTATTTTTCTTTTATATTTTGCCTATGCCATGCATACCCTGTACACATCGAAGCTGGGTATATCTTGTGTGTTTCTCATTTTTTTTCGTTTCTAGTTGTCATTGGGGTCGTTTTTCACTAACTCTTACAAATTTACTTCCTATAAGCTCTGATTGCGTAAGTTGTATGTATTAAAATTAATGTATTTTCAATTAGATTTAGGATTTGCATTCCCACAAAAAATTGCACAGAGTCCTTTGACAGGATGGCGGCCAGTCCAATGCCGACTGATTGGGCCCAGCGCCAGCGGGATGATTCTTGCTATTTGGTGTAAGCGGCGTTAATCAAAATACCGAATAATCACATGTAAATTATTGTCCGAAAGTAGCCCGATCTGCGTCGACTATCCAAACCGTCCTATATACCATATATAGATCGATAGTTCGGTAGATCGATAGCTCGATAGCTAGGCGCGCTGCTGGCTGAATTGCCTTCCCCCGTTTTTGTTTTTACTTTTCTTAGACTACGACCGTAGTAGGTGGCTACGGCCGTAGCAGCGCCAGCTTTGGTGCTTGCTGCTGCAGGTGGTGCTCCCGTATGGCGATCAGCGACAGCGACCGGAATGCCGAGATCGGTGATGCGCCCGATCCATTGGCCACCGCCGGCGGCAATGTGGTGTACGGATCGGGGGATGCGGACGCGGACACGGATGCGGATGCTGATACGGATGCGGATGCAGATACGGATACGGAAGCTGATGCTGAATCTGGCTGCGTTGGGTGTCATGGCTTGCCGCTCAGGCTGGTGACATTCACACCAGGCGAGATCTTGCCCGAATTGGAGGACGACGACGACGAAGTCGAGTTGCTCGAGATGGGGCCAATCATGTGCTGTGCCGCCGAATGGGCACTGCTGGTGGGTATGTGCACCACATCGCAGCCCATAGACGAGGACGAGCTGGAGGCGGAGGGCGACGCACCTGGCGGCGGTGCCACCTGCGCTGCGCCCACATTGCTGCTGGTCGTCAGGCTGAGCGGCGCAAAGTGCTGTCCGGTGGCTGCGCCCGATACGGCCGCTTTCCACAGCAGCGGATTCATGCCGAGTCCGTTGTGCGCCGCCAAGCTGGCCCCGAAGTGCCGCTGGTGCTCGAGAAACTCCTGCGTGGGCGCGCTCAGGTGTGCGGCAGCTGCTGCCGCCGGGCCGTAGAAGCCGCGGTACAGATCCGGACGCACGTACGGCGCATAGTTGGGTATGCGAGCGGCCAGCGGGGAGAGTATCTTGCCAGGAGACGGATGCTGGTGCTGGCCCGCATGCCCGTAGAACGGTGGCTGGGATGGCGGCAGTTCGCCCGCGGGCGAGCTTTCCTTGCCTGAGCTGGACTCCTTGCCATCCTTGGCCATGTCGGCCAGCGACCAGATGCGCGGCTTGACGGCCAGACTGCCGCCAGTTGCCCCCACTGCCGTTTGCAGGGAGTTCTGCTGCGCCTGCTGGGCGTGCTGCTGCAGCAGCTGCTGCTGGTGGTGGTGGTAGGCGGCGATGTCTGGGGGCGAGCCTGTCGGGGGGCGGAAGTGGTGATGCAGGGCGGCGGGATGGAAGAGCGGATGGGTGCCTGGCCGGTCGTACAGGTCCGGCGATCCATTCGGCGAGCCAGGCCGCGACTCGGACCACTCGCTGTTGTTGCTCTCGCCGGGACGGTCAGTCATCATGTCGCCCAGTCGCCCCATGCGCTCCTTGTCGTCGTTTGAGCCCAGGCCCGAGTCCTTGGCATCTGCAAAGAGTTAAATGAAAGACAAATCAATATAAGGTAACTCGAAGTTTCAATGGACATGGGAATGCATATAGGTATGTAGCTATCGGATTGGGATCGGAGTTCTTGGCTTACCTAGCAAATCATTCTCCTCCGTGTTCTTGTCGTTGTCATCGTCGTCGTCGATGTTGGCATCGTCGTCATCGACTCGATTCCTGGGCTCCCAGGTCATTTTGTTCTCCTTTTTCAGTCTTCTTCTCGCATTCGCGAACCAGGTGGACACCTGGGTCAGCGTCATTTTTGTGATAATCGCCAGCATTATTTTCTCGCCCTTTGTGGGATAAGGATTCTTTTTGTGCTCGTTTAGCCAGGCCTTCAGCGTGGACGTCGTCTCGCGCGTGGCGTTCTTTCGCCTGGCCCCATTCAGGTCCATGCCATAGCTGCAATCAAGTTGAGAGAGAAAAGTCGAAAGGATTAGCAAATGCTTGTGGCACTCAATGTGGAGAGAGAGAGAGAGAGATTGAGAGCGAGATAGTGGTGGCAAAACTAATGAGTAAAAGGCGATTAGAATCGGCTGCGAGAGTGAGTAGACAAAGTCGAGTGACCTCATGCCCTGTAGGAGCTCTACACTGGTGGCTAAAATAGTGGCCGAGCAAGAGAATTACAGCTCAAGACATAAATCAGCTGACCAATGGCAGTTGAGCTGGTCAGCAGGATGGAGTAGTACACTAGTGGCAAAAATAGTTGGCAAGCAAGAGAATTGGAGTGAATGAATGAGCTCATTAAGCTAATAAGGGCTCAGCTGTTTTGTTCTTAAGAGCAGGTGAAATGGCATAGGGGACTCCCATAGGAGTAGTACACTAGTGGTAAATATAATTGCCCAGGGAATGTCAACAGAATAAGCAAATTGCCGTCGGCTGCTTGAGTTGCTAAAAATGTACAATCTAAGAGATTAGCTAGTGCTGCTGCTGCTGATTGATACACTGGTGTCCTAAATAATAGGTGGAGCATTAATCCCTAACTAAAGAACTGCTCAAAGGCCGTCGGCAGTTCAAGCCCCACACAGTGGACCAAAATATTAGCCCTAGGTCGGCTAATCGAATAGACCCGGAGCTGATTTAAAATGCAGCTTGCAATGCTGCGTGCGGCTTTCAGAGAGGAGCATCGTCGCGTCGTTGGGGGCCAGACCATTCGCAGCACTTGTGCGGAACATTTGTTTATAATAAACACATTTGCCAGCCCATTGTCCATTGTCCAATGACCGTTGGCCGTCGGCCGCTGGCCGCTGGCCGGCAGTCTGTGCCCGAGCTACATTTATGTACACATGTGCAGCTTTGCGGTCTGTGCAACACATTTCGGGGCTGACCATGGTAATTGCATGGGGCATCAGTGTGAGCGCGCGCCTATGCCTGTGCGAGTGTGAGTACAGCAACTGTCCTTTATCGTTTTTTGTGGCCAGTTAACATGGACATATGCATGAGTGTGTGCAACTGCATCCATAGACAGCAGCCGCAGCAGCAGCAGCAGCAACAGCAGCAACAGCGGCAACAGCGGCGGCGGCAGCGGCGTCGGCAGCGGAACAACAGATATGCGTACATATGTAGCTGTCCCATTTGTAGTTTCCAGCCAGCTGCACAACTGGTGGACGGACTTGGATACTGATGCCATTTCGCGGCAGTTGCCTCTACCTCTGGCGAGGCACTCTCGCAGTCTCTGCTGCTGTCGCTGTGTGCGTTGAATTAATTAATTTAAATTTGAAAACGAAGTGTCGCCGAGTGCAAAACACCTGCGCCGACAGCCACTCTCTGCCTTTGATCACTTGACAGTTGAATAAATTTTTTTAATTTTCCTATCAACGTCCGGCGGGCCATACACACAAATATACACAAATATACATATATACATATTTGTATATATATATCGATGCTGGCTGCCGATTGTCAAACAATAAAGCAACAAATCGGGGCTGTGTTCACGCCCACTTTTGAATCGAACAAGGTGGGGCTACATTTCTTTGAAGCTAACCCACTGAATGGGGAATCGCATTCGCCAGTGGGTCGACTGCTTGGCACGTCACAGTGAAATAACTCAAAATTGATTTATTGTGAATATGATTCGATAGACAACAACAACAACAGCAGCAACTGCAGCAACAACAACAACAGCGGCAGCAACTGCAACGACATGACTCAACTTTCAAATTTTTGTTATGGGTGTCAATTACGAGTGGAAACAATGAAGAGAGTACGACGCAGCCAGCACTCTACCTGGCGAAACGTGACGTGACGGGATGTTGTCAATGGTCGAATCGAACAACTCTGTTTCGGAAATTTATGTGAATGCCGCGCTGCCGTTGCCTCTACCGCCGCCTCTACCGCTGCTGCTGCTGGCGATGCGATGCGTTGTCCGACGGAAGCGGCTCTCCACTTCGCCCATCGCTCATCAATTACAAGCAAATAAATTGTTGTTAATGATAGAAAATCAAATACTTAAGTATGTTTATTTTATTTGTGTTGCTGCTGCTGCTGCTGCGTGCCAATGCGATTGGCTTTTACTTTTTACGCCGTATTTGGGCTGCATTTTGAATGCAGCTGCACGCAACTGTGGCACAACTTTCGACAGACACTGTTCTGGCCAGCCAGCCGGCCGGCCGACCAACTCCTGCCAGCACTGGCTTGTGGCCAGGGCCGCGCCCTAGTTGAGCATTTGCCTCTTTTCATGTGCTGGTCACGTCTCCGGGCTGTGATGTGTTGGCGTTGATCGCCTGTCGGACCACCGTTCGAGTTCTCGCCAAGCCGAGTCTCTTTCTTATTTCTTACTACACACATATATAGATGTATATATATTCTTTTCTACTAGCAAATCGGTTCGCTCAATGTCAAGTGTTTGGTATTCAAGCGCTGCGCTTACCTATTAAAGGGATAACCGGCAAAGGCTGCGTCATACGGATGATACATCGATGGATATGGCCAGGGTGCTCCGCCGGCCACTAGATTCTCCTTCAGATCGATGCCAGCCTGCAATGGAAATAGTGAAATATTGTTAGTCGAACACTTAAAAGACTCAAAGATTCAATATAATAAATAACCTATATACGATTATCATGTCTGAGTTTTTGCGGTAGAATTTGAACTGTTTGACCACTTGCCGAGACCTTGAACCGAAATTATTAAAAATCATGTTAAACAAATCATTAGTACATATTTTACGCTTTCAGCTTGAGTTTTTAAGAGGTATACCTTATCAACGGCACGAAGTCCGAACGATGGGAGAGAATGGTATTTTTGTGGAATTTATATGCAGTGAAGTCATATAGGAAATATTATCGATAAATAAATGCAATTCATATATTTTGAATTTAGTCAATGGTCTATAGTCTACAGTCTTTAGCCTTTAGTCTTCCAGAATCCCATTATTTCAACTCATATTTTATGCAAGCCTGCCCATCGTACATATTCAGTGATAACTGATAATGCCAGAGCAGTCAGCAGACCATGAGGACAAGACGTGACCAAAAGGCGTTCGCATCCGCGTCCACGTCTGCACAGCTCTATTCGCTATATATTTATGTGTGTATGTGTGCATAATTATAGACAGATACTTTGGATTCACAGCTACAGCTACAGCTACAGCTATTTAATTTGATAATGAGATGCGAATACATGAGCGCTGTACATAATACGAGCGTGCGAGTAAATGAAACATACATATGTCAGCCTATAGAAATCTCTGTGCCACGCCGCGTAATTAAAATCACAAAAGCCAAAGCACATGTGTGTGTGTGTGTAAATTGTTGATTAAGTGTAACATGACAATTACTTATATACACATTTAGTAATTTAGTCTTGTCTAAATTCACTGCGACAGATGTCGATGTCAGCTGTTTGTCGTGTACCAAGTGATAACAGGCTAAAGATTGCACCACACACACACACACACACACATATATAGACAGAAAAGGTAGCCAAAAGGGGAGAGCAAAGGGAAACGTAGATTGAGAGAGCGAGAGAGAGGGAGAGAGGAAGGGGGATAAGTGGCAACTGAAGTGAAGAGCAGCTGCTGCAATGATAACAGAAAGCTGACTACGATAAAAAAGAGAGAAAACGATGAACGTAAGCCAAAGGTGTGACAGCATTTAGCATTTAGCATTTATTACGGGGTATATTAAGCGCAGCTGGTAGGAGATGACTAGAGAGAAAGATGATTGATCAATAATCAATTCAATAAAAATTTGAGTATTTTGAGGTTGGTATACATTAGTGGAAAAGTGTTAAAATATGTAACGTGTATAAGAGCATATAAAGGTGCATCTGTGATTGATTGATTGAACATGATTGATGTACGAAATGTAGCTGTGAATGAGAGCTATATTTTATATAACGCAACTAAAAAGATTCACTTATAGAGGCAAACGATGGAAGCTGATGTAAGCAAAATGATTGATGTGAATGATTGACTTAGATATTGGGTAGCATCGGTGGTAAGATAAGAAATACAAATACAAGCAACTCGGTAGAGGTAAAATTTCATAAGAATGAAGATGTTCAAGCTTAGCTATTGATTGAGCATGATGTAAACGCAAAAGTGTTATTAAATTAAAAATACGTGTAAATTAGTAATGCAAATTTGAATGAAGTAGAACTTATAAGTAATAATGGTTGGCGAATGGAATTCAGAACTTTTTGAAGTTGATGTAAGTCACTCATTGAAGAAATAATTCCCTAAGACAGTTTTATATTCATGATCCTCATAGAGCTAATCAAACTCCCAATGATTGATGCCATGACTGCTCATAAATTCCGACTAGGTGTACAATTTATGGCCGTTGGCTTTTAGAGGGTATCTGTGCAGAGGCAGCGAAAGGTCATCAATGCTTGAACATGATGTAAACTCTGGGATTGATACACATCTCGGTACATGGCAACGCACGGGAAGCCCATTGTAGCTGCGCCATGTGCCATGTGCCAGGGCAGGGAGTTCCGTTCGCATGTGAAATATGCGAATTGCATGCGACATTGAGGCGGCTGACAACAGTTGTTGCAGTTGCAGTTGCATTTGCAGTTGTTGTTGTTGTAGTTGTATTTGTTGTTATCTTGGTCTGGTCTGGAAAGCTGGGCCGTCCCTTTGGCCCTTTGGCGAGACGACAGCAAATCGGAAATATTTGTGTGTCGCCAATATGAGAATGTTTAGCCGTTTGTTTTGCCGTTTAGCCTGACTATCAAAGGCAATCGGAACGGCTAGCTGGCAACGGTAGAGGCAAAGGTTCGTCGAAGGTTCGCATGCCCAGCATGTGGTGAGTTTTTGAGTCGAAGCAGCGATAGAGACTGATAACCGGCGACAGAGTCAAAGACGAAGAGACAACAGACGGCGGACGGCGGACGGCAGACGGAAGACAGAAGACTGAGATCGGCTGTGGTTGCTGTGTCTACTGACAGGTCTACGGCCGGGAAGAGCGCTCGTAACGTGCAGTTCGCAGAAGTCATTTAGCAAAACGTTTTACAACCTTTTGGCCAACTCTGACAATATTAAATTACAGCTCTCGACATCCACAAATACACAAGTCGGCGTGCGGAAGGTCGAAAGTTGCCGTCGAGCGATCAATTACCAGTTGGACTGCTGCAGTTGGATACCGATGGCGATTCCGCATCCGCGTCCAATTCTGATTCTGATTCGGATTCCCGATTCCCGATTCCTCAATGAATCGCAAGGGTCGCTCCGCTGAACCGGTTTACATTTTTACAACTTTTACAATAATCGCATTCGGCTATCAAACGTGCAACGTGCAACATGTTCAGCAACAGCAGCCGCAAATAACCAAAAAGTATCTCTTCCTCTCACTCTATCTGTGTGTGTGTACGTGTGTGTGTGTGTCTGTGTGTGGAGTGCGTGCTGCATATGGACATGGACATGGACATGCGAGTGAAGCGCATTCGGTGCAACATCCCATAAATTGTTGCGTTTGCTACTACTTACATAGGAGCACGGCAACCGTTCGTTCGTTCGCTCCAGCTCCAGCTCCACCTCCAGGTGCACCTCCAGCTCCACCTTCGCTACCGGCTAACAGCTCGCCCAGATTTTTGCGTGCGATGCAAAATATGAACAACATGAACAGTCGACATGTGTGTGCAACTACGTTTTGCGTTTATTATTGCTGGTAGTGCAACAAGCGCAACATTACATTGCCGCAGCGGCATCCATTACTGCGCCACAGCATTTAGACCAGAACACGGTGCGCGCCGAGCCGTTCGTAACTGATATATACATTTAGGTAGCTACTCACTCGCCAACGTTACCAGGAAGTTATTCCTCATTATTGAATTATGTTCGAAATGCGAGTTATCAATTTCCCTACTATCATTCCTCATTTTCAATTTTTGTAGAACTAATAATATTATAATTTATTTGTGCGAATTTTTCAGCAGTAAAAATTTGCAGTTGAAGATTTCAGTTTAATCTGAAGTTTAATAAAATTTATATTTATTTATTATTTTTTTTTAATTCCTTCCTTTTATGAAACATTTTGATTGTAAAGTTTATATTAAAGACTTTCATTAAAATATTCTGCTGCTAAAATAAAGTATTTTATACAGGAATTAAATATACAAGTCTTTACATAAATTTGATTTAATTTTAGCAATTTCATATGTTTATTGCAAAGCTCATGATAATTTTATTTAACTTGCAATTAAGTAAGCTTTAGTTTTTGTACTGAATGAATTTGCTCTTTAATTAAATCAAGTAATCAGAGTTAAGATATTTATAAATGTATTCAAGGTTTCACTTATTTAATGGAATAAGTATTTATTCTGCAATCTAATTTTGTTTGTTTTACTTTGCTTCATATCTAACTAATTTATCCTGCAGATAAACGAATTTTAATTTCTTTCTCCAATTTTTAATGAATTCCTTAATTAAGTTAAATATTCCGAATATTTGTATATTTATTCAAATTATCACTTATTCATTGCAAAGCTCATGACAAATATATTTTAGCCTGCTGTCAAGTGAATGTTAACTTTATCGACTGCAAGCCCATGAATGATGTAAGCAAAGCTTGAATGTTGGCCAATTAGAGCTATTTAATTTGGCGACTCTACAGCTCAAAGCCCATTGCAGTACTTAACAGGCGGAGGCAAAAGCGCATTCGCAAGCAACTTTAAATTAAAAAGTTGCTTACAAATTGTTACTGTACTTTGAGGTATCAATACCATTGTACGGCCAACACGTTGGCGGCATTGGCAACGCATCGGTTCACGCATTGGCGGGTGCGATTTCGCGGGTAAATTAATTAATTCATAAAACTCAATAAAAAAGCAAACTCGAAAATGAAAATGAGAATGAAAAAAGAAGAAAAAGAAGGAGAAGTAGAAAAAAAACAGGGTATTCAGCTGATTTTCATTGTTAAGGCGCTGTCTGCGCTTCACGCCAGCCTCAATGGATGTCCCACGAACATTACGCGAGATCGACAATTGGGCGACACGTCGACGGCACTGGAGGTGGCTCCACGTAGCTCCCAGTTTGGGGCATGGCCATGGGCAGGGGCATGGGATATGGGTGCAGTGCTGTGGTTTGCCTGTGGTCTGTCGCCTGATGCGCCGCGATGCGAATGATGCGCGTAATGACGGGTCGAGTTAATTAATTGCTGCTTCGATTTAAAAATAAACGCACGTTTACGCAGCGCATTCCTGTCTGTACTCATTGGAACGAGCCGCTTCCGAAGAATGAATGGAATCAGCAACAGCATCTGAATCAGCAGCAGAAGCAGATGAATCTACATCTGTAGCTGTGCCTGTATCAGATTTAAGATTGACGACAGCGAGGACTTTGACTTTGACTTTGAATGAAATAGAATTTGTGGCAGCAGTCCCTCAGGAGCTGCCTGCCTCCTGCAGTTGACAGTTATTGCGCCTGGCGCTTATAAAGTTGTTCCACTGTGAATGTGGCATGGCGCCTGAGGCTGTTGTTGTTATGTGAAAGTTGTTGTTGCTTGTCGTTTGCTGTTGTTGTTGTTGTCGTTGCCATGACTGCTAATTTGTTGTTTGTTGTAGGCAGCCATTCAAAAAACATTCTCGTAGACACCCTCGCTACGCCCTCTACTCTCCCCTCTCCCCCTCTCTCTCTCTCTCTGGATGTATATAAAAGTGCAAAATTTACTGTTAACGTACATTTTCAACTTTGCCAAAAAGCCAAACAACAACGGCAGCAACACAAAAACTTTCCACAACACTTACAGCAACAACAATGCGAACGAACGTGCACAGTTTGAGGGCAAATGTATTTAGTACTTGGTCCTGCTACTCCTGCCGCTCAACGCACCCGTCACCTTGCCATTAAGGACAGCAACCACCCTCGGAGCAGCACATACAACACGAAGCCAACGTCGACACTTCGACATTTTCTAAAGTTGACAAATCAGTGCATGTACGCTTCTCCTCGGCTCTGGCCTGCGCCTCCTCCGGCTCGGTGGTTGTTTCCTGTCGAGTGGGCTGTGAGCTGTGGGCTGGTGGGGCGGTGGTGCGTGGGTGGTTGGCATTGGTGCGATTTGTAGTTGCTTTTTGGTTACATTTGGCAGGCAAGTTGCCAGCGGCAAAAGTTTTTGTAGAGTAGCTCCCACAGGAACTCGGCTGAGGATATGGATGCGGCAGACACACACACACACAAACACACATGAGTGCGTATGTGTGTTGTGCCTGGAGTAAGATTATTGTCGAGTGCGAAATTTCATGCCTGCATTGTTGTTGTTGATGATGTTGTGGCACTTAGTGTTAGGATGAAAAAGTCAATATACTCCAGCTGCAGCAGCCCGGACTCTGGACTCTGGACTCTGGAGAGGACGAGCTGATATGCTGTAGTTGTTTTTTGGCTGGTCTCAAAACATCAAGTGCTTAGCTTGAGCACAATGCAGGACTTGCCCAGGACTCGCCCAGGACTCTGTCTAATTGGGCAACAAAGTCGAGTGCAAATGCGTGCGGCAGTTGCAACATATGCGACAACGTCAATGTCAAATGACAGAAACAAAAAAATACAAAACAGAGTAGAAGAAGAGCCTTAAGGATAAACGAAACTGAGAGATTAACTGACGGCCCGGCCTGCGACTGCGGCTAGGTCGGGGGCGGATCACAGGCGGACAGGCTGTCAGTTGCGTGTTGACAAATTTATTAATAAGGTACGAAATGCGGCAGTCGACGCCCTCAACGGACACGGGCAGGGGCAGGGGCAGAGGCACGGCCTGGCCTATTTGTTGGCGGCTCTTCAAATGTACTTTTGCCATTTGAAATGACAGCGCGTTGTTGCACCATCCCAGCGAAAGGCAGTTGGAGGAAACTCTGGTGGCAGAGCCACATCCACATCCACATCCACATCCACCTTCAGTCATCATCCACCATCCACCATTTAGCATGCGTCGCGCCCGAAGACAACGAAATATATGCCCGTGCTGCGGCAAAATGACAGCCGCTTGACAGCTCGTGTCAAAGTAATGAATCCACCGCACAACGCCCGACACTTTTACAACTCCTGTGCCCCGGCACAGTATGTCTCAATGTCTCTGTGTGTGTGTGTGTGTGTGTGTGGATGCTAAGAGAAATAGCTCCAGTTTAGCGCCGCTTGCCGCTCGAGCCAAAAGAATATGCCGCATTGACTAATTACGATCGCCCGGATGATTTATGCAGCTGTGCGACGGAAAATTCGAAACCGTTTGCCTTTTAAACGCCTCAATCAATATGGGAACACATATATGCTCTTACTGATACTTCATCCAGTCAAATGTATATACACATACATACATATGTTTATATATATCTTTTCATTTGAATTTGCTGCGTCAGCGTCAGCAGCAGGCGTAGGCGCCTTTTCGGATAACCACATTGAGTGCGACAGTTGTTGATCGCCGATCGATAAATTTCAAATGCGACGAGCTTTTATGTGTTTGTTGCTCTCTCTCTCTCTCTCTCCCCCTCTCTCTGTCCTTCTCTCTTTCTTCTGCCTGTCATCATTTGCTCAGATTTTTGTTATTTAGTTTTTAGTAAGTCGCTGCTTTATAACAATGCCAAACAAAAGCCAAAATTTATGCTAAACCGCAGCTACTGGCGGCAGGTCGAGTTTTTTGTTCGCTTTTTGTTCGTCAGTCTCTAAGCTTCTTCAAATGCAAATCAATATACTTATGCACACACACACACACACACACACGCACACATGCACAAATGAACGTAAACTTCACTAAGTAGCATGTCGATCGATTTTTTCACACACACTCACACACACACACAGCAACAGCCGCATATCGTAAGTCATGAATGTCGTCTCGTAGTTTTTAGCTCATTTGACATAACTACAAACAGCATTCAAAACTGGTTCAACACTAAATCAGTTACTTTTGCGATTTATTTCTATATATGCATATTAACATATTTTTGTTTTATATATTATATTTTGTCTTGTTTTATTCTTTGTTTAATTTAAGGAATCATGTTCACATTGCATATGGATATGCGTATATGTCTCACATATTAATTTATAACTGATTAGTCTTAAATTTTGTTATTTTTATTGTTTATATTCCATTCAAATTATAGCACATAATTTAGACAAAAAGTTGATAATTTGATAAAGCCATTCTGTGCGCCATTAAAACGCAAAACAAATGTCAAGCAGAGGCAAATACTTGAAGAGATATTTACGATATGCCGGATACATCACAGATGGATTAGAATGGGACGACTATTAGGTAGCAATATTTTGTAGCTTGAGTGGCCTAAGAAGGAGGAAGAATCAATGTAGGATTTGACTATCTATATAAATTAGCACAGAGTCTTGCGGAAATCAACTTATCTAAGAGTGAAACTTAGGAGATTGTTGAGACTAGAATAGAATAGGTATAGAATATATATATATGTCGATTTCACGTACAACTTGTTCAGGCAGTGAGGCAGATATGATATTTGGAGCTAGTATAAGAGCATTTCGGAAAGTCTTATTTATGATTGAAGGACTTGAACTAATCTCCATCTCAGTTCCATATCAAATATTCATATAGTAATATTCCATTTCCATTTTAAAGTCAATTCAGGAAATTCCATGCAGAAAGATTCTCATTCTAATATTTGTATTCCAACTTAAGCTATTAATAATATGATTTATATAGAAGCAGCAGCACTTTATCTTCATATGACACCAAATTTTGGGTATTATAATATTAAAGTGCAGCTCGGTCAGCGACTAATTGATTGTCTTCGAGTCCATGTGTCAACTATGAGGCTAATGGCCAGAGAGTTCGACATTCTTTGGAATTCAAGTGAATTGTGCAAGCCACACACACAAGATCCGGTCAGCGTCACCGTGGGAGATCTGACCCGTAGCCCCTGTCCCTACCCCTACCCCTACTCCTCGCTGACCCTCGGCACGGCATGTGGTCCGGAAAGTCAAACCAAATAGAATTGTTTGCAAACAAAAGCAAATTACACGCTGCTATTAGAAATAATTCGGCGAACAATGGACACGCCGTGAAGCGCCGGACATGCTGTAACAGGGACGAGAACGAGAGAAGGAGAACCGTCCAATGTCCAATGTCCACTGTCCGCTCGCCGATGGCCCGATGGACCCATTGTAAGACCCAACACACTGACAGCCGCAGTCGCTGTCGCAGTCGCCGTCGCAGTCGCAGCAGGCAGATCATAAAGCGAGCTCTCTGTCTCATAATAATGCGACTTGAAATATCACCCCGACGGAGAGCCAGGCCGAGCCTTGGGCAGGTCCTAAAAGGTCAGAGGCATGCCACAGGCATAGGCGGCAGCTGGCACAAGTCATAGGTCTAGGGTCCATTCGAGCTGAGCTTCAAGCTCCAAGCTCTTGACAAATCTGTGCCTAGAAAGCAAAAGCAACAGCAACAGCGAGACCCAGAGCAAGAGCAAGAGGAAGAGAAAAACTTTGTTGCCAGAGTACCTAACACATGTTCGGAAGCCTGGGCCCATGGAGCTTGTGTGCGTGCCATGGGCACACGATCAAATGACGAATGGGGGTGGGGAGGAGCAGGCAGAGCTGGGGCATGACGACAACGACGACGACGACGACGACGGTGGTCTCTGCTCGGACGTTGGACAAATTCACAAATTTATTGCACCATTGTTAAGACGCATGACTTATGAACAGACCGTTTAGCCTGGCCCTGGCCCGGTCTGGGCTGGGCTGGAGTTTGCATGCTTGGAGCTTGACTTACCGGATTAGCGTAGAATGGTGGCTGATCGGCGGCGATGCCCGACAGGTAGGCAGACATGCCCTCGGGATAGACGCCGAGCGGCACGCCGCCGGGTCCGGCGACCAGTCCGCCGGCTGCGGCCAGGCGCTGATAGTTTAGCATGTCGTATTGGCAGGAGCATATGGTCTGTCCGCTGACGGGATCCGTGTAGATGGTGCGGCCGGTATCACAGCAGCGGTTCGGATTCGGGTTGCCCGATCCGGGCGCTGGCGGCACGCCCGGTGGCGGACCGACGCCCACAGCTGGCAGCGTGGAGGGGCCGGCGCCGGCGCTGCTGCTGCCGGCCGAGGCGGAGCCGTACGGCGTTACGGCTGATGCGCATGGCGAGCCGGAGCGTGCGCCCGGCGGCACTGTGGAGGTGACCATGCCGGGACCCGGTACGGTCAATGGCAAAGGCAAACCAGTGGGCAGGCCGGCGGCAGCGGCGGCTACGGCGGCGGTCAACGACGGTCCCGGACCGTGGCCTGAGCCGGAGCCAGAGCCGGAGCCGGTGGCGGTTGTGGGATTCGCTAGCGCTGGCAGAGGAGTCAACGTTGCTGTCGCTGTGGGCTGCGTATGCGGCGTCTGTGCGGCGTTCGAAGAGGGCGTGGTAGGCGATGAAGCAGCTAGGCGAGTTGAAACGGCATTCTGTAAAGAGCACAGTGAGAAGAAGAAGAGAGGCCAAATGAGTTACAAGACACAACAACTACTGTACTAGAATAGACAGTAGATTCGTTCTACTCTCTGTCTACTGTACCTCAGGTACGGCAGGCAAAACTTAATTAAAATCGTTGCCCCCCCTTATCAATATCAATGCGATAAGCGCGCGCGTCTCTTGTGTACACACACACACACGCACACATACACATAGATGCACACACTCGCACTCACACATATGGAGACCCTCGAGCTAAAGCCTGTAGAGTACCCCTAATAGCCATCTTCGATTGCGTCCTAGGTGATCATCAAAGTGGGGCCGCCATTAACAACAAATCATGTTTTCGATTGACAACATTGATTTAAATTACACAGCCAACTGCAACGACAACTGCAACAGCAACAGCAACAACAGCAACAGCAACAACTCTGTGTGTGTTTGTGTTTGTCTGTCCAATAACTGGGAACGGGCTTTGTGCATCTCTTGGTCCGTGCCCATGTTTTTTCTCCTTTTTTTTTTGTGTGCACATAAGCCTATCGCGCACTTTTGTCAACACTTTTAGTCAAGCAACAACTGCAGCAATAACAGCAACAAGAACAACAACACACATTCGCACACATGCGGCATGCAGACAACAAACAAGTTTTGAGTTTTATTTATTATCGTCTCTTTGGCTGCTTTCGTAAACTTTTCTCGATTTTGGTTTTCTTCTTGTTGTTGTCGGTTGTTGCTTGTTGTTTGTTGTTGTTGCTTGTCGGTTGTCGGTTGTCTTGCCCGTTTTTTTTTCCTTTTCTTTTACAAATGATCCAAGGCTCAAGATTGGATTTTTATCGCCGGCCAAACAGTGAGTGATACCACAAACTAGGCAGAGATAGCCAGATAGACGGATGCACTGCCTCCTCCTCCTACTCCACTCCACGCCACTTTATCCCCCGCTCCATTCTATCTCTCTCTCTGTCTCTGTCTGTCTGTCTCTGCTGTTGCTGCTGCTAAATGACAACTCAAGTGGCCATACGCGATTAAAAATTAATTCTCTGACCCATATGAAGTCCGCTTCAAGTTGGGTTATCAGTTGGCGCCTTTGAATCAGCCGCCGCGCTGCGATGTTTATCCGTGCCTGGTTGGTTGGTCGGCCATGTCTTCTACTTGAATGTACGAATATAGCGACATAAGTATGCATGTACGCACACACACACACACACACACACAACTCTGTCACTGAGTGTGTGCGAGTTTCTAGTGTAGCATCCAAAATGGAAGCGGCGAGCACTTTTCGAATATTGGAATAAACAAAGCAAAACAAAACTTAAGTCTTATACCAAAGTGTTAAATATCAACACACACACACACATACTCTCCCTCTCTCTCTCTCACACTCTTACTCTGTTTGTGTGTAGTTATGTGTGACAGAGGAATTTTTATCTAAACAGCGATTTGCATTTTTTTGCTGCGACTTCAATTCGGATTTTTTCGTTTTCGGTTTCGGTTTCGAATTCGGATTTGGTTTCGGTTTCAATTTTCTTTGTTGTTCTACAAGTTGCATTTCATATTATTTGTTGTTTCTGTTGCTGTTGTTCGGTTGTTCTGTTGTTATTGTTTTGTTTATCGCAAGCATTTTATGGGCTCTTTTCATAGCGCTTGTTCTCGTTACTTATTTGTAATTAATGTGCCAATGTGTGTGTGCACACGACTGTGCGTGTGTGTGTGTCTCTGTGTGTGTGTGTGTTGGCGCTGAAGTGTCAAGTAGAAGTTGAATTGATTACATTTGAGCAAAAGAGGCAACATTTACTTGCCATATTTGTCACTCTTATATAGATCGTATTACCAGACATGCACACATGCACACGTACACACACACACTCACGTATAAGAAATGTGCATTTTTATTATAAGCATTCAAGTATAAGAGCAAAACAGTTAAAGCAGCCGCAAAGTATTTGTCGCTTTGCCTGTATTAAGTTTGCAGTTATGTAGTATATAACCCCTCTCCCCCTCTCTCTCACTCTATCTGTGCTTTTGTCCATCTCCCTCCCCCCGCCCAATTGGCATCATGTATGTACAAGAGGCAAAACACAGCAAATACGAGTGTTCGAATGTGGCATCCAAATGTATGGCTGACATTTGGGGATTTCGAGTGGATTTGGCAGACATCGATTTGAAATTTTCTTTTGTTGCGGATTTATTTTTAACAAAATGCTTGCACATTGCGATCCCATCTTCTTCTTCTTCCTCTGCTGCTGCTGCTGTCGCTCTTCCTCTTCTTCTTGTTTTCTATACGATCTGCCTCTGTCAAGTCCAATTGCTGCAACTAACAACATGTTCAACATGTTGCAAATTGATTTGGCCAACAAATTCTATATAAACGGGTATATAGTATGTATATATTTGCTATAGAGCAAAGTTTTAGCAAGGAAGAAGGAGAGAGGGAGAGGTAGGGCAGAATTTAAAAGGAAGACAGACTGATTGGTTGACCAAGTTATGTAAGTCCTCTTTATCTATCTAAAGAAAATATCTTTCTACAAAAAATATATATTCCATCTTATGCATTTATTATATTTTATATTGTTTAAATATCTATAATATATATAACATTCTTTTAATAATCTGCCAGCGAAGTAATTTCATTTTTCCATTTGTTTCCTATTTGTTTTCCTGACAAATTCCATCTCAAATCTTACGAATTTCGTAGAAATTCCATCTCTAATCTTATATAATGCAGCTATACATAATTACTATAAAGCAATTGTAAGTCTTTTCGCGCTGATCTTTATTTCTGTTGAATACAACTCTCTGATCCACATGCAATAACAGTTTTATAAACTTCCTTGAAGAAGCTCTCTGCTTATTGTTTCCAAGAATCTCTAATCTTAAAAAATACAAGTCTTCGTTCACAATATTAATAGATAATTGCTTATGCCAAATTTCATCGAATGTCTATAGATCTTGATCTTGGCGCTTGTCGGCCTTTTTTATATGCAACTAATTGCCGGATATTAAATAAATAAACATTAAATCAAGATTGTAATCTTAATTAAAACATTTCCTGTTCGATATCAATATTGTAGAATATTCTTATTGTTAATCTTGATTCTACGCAGGCATAATCATTTAAGCCCCATAAAATACCACTCGATTATAAGTTAAATAAATTCTCATTAAGATCAGGTACAGATTTTCTAATAGTTTCTATATATTACTGATTATATTTTTAGCATCGATAGATAGAGGATTGAGCTTTACGTACCATTACTAAACAGACACCGGTTTCATTACTGTGCACTGTCATTTAATTTCGGTTTGCTTTCCAAGTTTGAACTAAAATTTATTTATGTATTTTTGAAAAAAACGCACGGCACGAATCGAACGGAAGCAAACGCAATTCGAACACACAATTTTCCAATTCGTTCGAATTGGGAAACGATTTTTGCTTCATTAACTAAAAACTTCTTGCGTTAGTTGTCTCCAAAATCTTGTGTTTGCAATTTCTTTAATCAACTTTGATCAATTTCGTAATTATTTTGTATCCATGTAGCACTCTTTTTGTATGTGTATGTGTGTGTGTGTGGAGGCGTGTGTGTGTGGGTGTGAAACACTTGTATTGAAAAAACTTGCGCGAATTTGTTTTACACTTTTTTGTTGGTGCGCATTGCCGACGGTTAAACGATTGAACGGTTGAGCAATCCCAGAGTCGGGAACAGTTTGCGATTTGATGGGACTTGAACTGCGAACTACGTGGCTCGAGAATCTTAGCGCCTGCTGCTGCTTGTTTATGCTTATGCCAGGTTACAGTCACCGCCGCCGCCGTAGACGAGGATAGGCGAAGACGAAGACGGAGACGAAGCTGGAGTCGTAGTCGGAGTCGGACTTGCAGTCACAGTTGGAGCTGGAGTCGGAGTCGGAGTTGGAGTCAGAGACGATGGCGATGGCGATGGCGTTGGCGTTGGCGAAGGCGAATCCAAAGGCAAAGAGGCGAAAGCAGCGAGCCAATGCAATGCGAAAGTACCGTACGGGCACACTGAATACGGTATCGAATCGAGCGAGGCGAGCGGCACGACAGGCACTAGCGCTGCGGGCACTACGGGCACTGGCACTGGCACTGACAGAGGCGCTGGCACTGCTGGCACTGACACACAGAGGCAGAGGCACAGGCACGAACGGAACGAACGGAACGAGCTGACGAACGAACGATACGAACAATCTGCGTAACAGCCAAAAGTAGACTAACATGAGTTTCTTGAGCAAGTACAAAGTGTACGACAAATGGGAATTACACGACAACCGACAATCGAAAAACAGCGAAAACAGCAACAACAACGACAACAACAGCACTGGCAGCAGTGCCAGCAGTGGCAGCAGAGGCAGCGAGCAGCAGCTACAAGCAGCAGAGCAACACACAGATAAGCCTCGACTCGTACACAGATACGCCGCCTGCGGCTGTGTGTGTGCGAGAGAGCGAAGCGCAGCGGTTGGCAAAACTCGTTTCTCCCCTAATTGTGTGCGCTTGTGTGCGTGTGCTGCTCTCTCGCGAGCTGTCGGTGTGCGTGCGTGTGTGTGCGAGCGTGTGTGTGAGTGAGCTACAGCAAAAGCAGAAAAAGTATCAACGCTAACGACAACAACAGCAAGAGGAACAGCAACAAAAACAACTGCGACAGCGACCGTAACAACGGCAATAATGATTATCATTAAAAGTGGGCTGGCTGTTTGTCACGCGGCCATGGGTGCGAGCGAGACGGGCTGCTGAACTGGCTGCTGAACAACAGCGAGAACCGGTTGCGTCACGGCAACAGCAACTGACTGCTGCGGCTGCAGCGATAGCAAACGACAAACGGCAAACGGCCAGCAGCAACATCTACAACAACAAGGCGAGCATACAAAAAGTATCTGCTGCTGCTGCTGCTTCTGCTGCTGCTGCGACCATAAATAAAGTATCTGCATTAAGGTGGTGCGCGCGAGCGAGATAGCATGCCAGAGTGCCCACGAATCGCATTCGCTCAGCATGTTGTTGCTAGCTGGCTGCTGCCTGTTGGCTGTTGGCTGTTGTCGGCATCGTGTGGACGCGCCGAGTGCGGCAGTGGCCGTTGCCGTTGCCGTAGCCGTAGCTGCCGCGTGTTAAGTGCGAGCGAGGCAGCAGAACATGAAAAAATTAACTAACAACTAGAAAAATGGCTGTTATTGCGTGTTGTTGTAAATGCCGATGTATGTATTTGTACGCACTGTTGTTGCCTTTGTCGTTATTGTTGTTGCTGCTGCTGCTGCTGCAGCTACTACTTGCTGCTTCTGCTACTTCTGCTGCTGCTGCTGGTGGTGCTGCCAACTGGGGGCTTGGAACTGGATGTCGGTACGTGTGTACAAGTATTTGTTGCCATAAACAACACGAGGCGAACCGCTCGCCGTAATGGAAATAAGAAAAACTTGATGAACATGAACAAAACTCGTGAAAGGGGTGGGCCAACGTTTCAGTTACTGCTACATCTACAACTACAGCTACAGCTTTAGCTCAGTAAGTTTTTATCATCCTCTGCTGCTGCTGCCGCTGACCATGCTGGCTGGGCTGGCTGACTGGCTGACTGGCTGTTGCTGGATTGGCGGCATCTTCCGCGCTGCTGGCGCCGACTGTGCCACCGATACCGATGCCGACACCGACACCGACACCGCGACTGCCACTGCCACTGCCACAGCCACAGCCACTGGCACAGCCATAGCCACAGTCGCTGGCACCGCAGCTGCTATTGCATGCGCGCTTACATTTTATTACGGAGATATTTGTTTTTTGTTTTGCCTCCCTCTTTCTGGGCTGGGCGGGGGTTGGGTTTCTTTAACTTTTTCTAATTAATTGAAACGCCACTCGTGAGGAGTGACGACGACGACGACGGCGACGCCGACGGCTGGCCGCGACAAGCGAGACGAGCGAGACGGCTGAGACGAGCGCGTGCGAGTGAGATGGCTGGTGCGAACGGGATGGCGCTTGGGGAGCGAGTGAGAGCGCGCTGTCGAATCGTTTTTGTAGCTACATTTAAGCACACACACCTAGACACACACACACACACACATACAGAGAGATGTACGTACACATGTACGAATGTATCCAACATATGTATGCCATTTGAATGGGAAACGTTTGCCGCTGCAGCTAAATTTCATTTTAAGCTTTATATTGCCACCCGACATCGCGGCCCCCATACATACCCCGCCACGCCCCCATTGGCACTGGCACTGCTCGTGCATTTTCCACCCCTCGGAAAAGCGCTACTGCTGCTGCTGCTGCTGCTGCGTGGTGCGGGTGTCGCACACGCCGAAAACAAATTCCTACAGCATTTAAATGAAGTTACTTTGTTGTCGTCATGTAAGTGAGTTGGTTTTGCGACAGCCTCAGATACGTTTAAGTTACCGCCCCGCACCACCACGCCCCGCTCTGTATCTGCCAGCAACTCTTCTTCTTCTTCCACGCATCCTGTCAGTTTCTGCATCTCTATCTCTCTCTCCATTTCTCTGAGTGTGTGTGTGTGTGTGGCAGCTGCTGGCTGATGTAAACAAAAAAAAATCTAGTTGATGATAATGTTTCTTCTTCATTGAACAACAACAGCTCCTAAACACTTTGACCATATATTGTAGCTAAACATTTACGCATAAGCTTATAAGCGTTCAGGACTTTGAGATGGAATCTGGCTACGAAATTGACACCTGGAAAACAGGTATTTTACAGTTTTGTTGAAGAAATATATAATATTTTCATAAATTTCTTGTCATCCGATATGTTTTTGTCAAAAATATTTAAACTAACTTAAAATCAACATTTTAAAAAGGATTAAAGAAAATAATGATATACCATGGCATGATAATAATGATAATAATAATATTGATATATATTATGTAATAATGATCAAAGTATAATAATGAAAATTAAATCATAATAATAAAAATAATAATGATAGGCCAATAAGAATTTGTTATTTTTCTGTTGCAAAAATAAAACATAGTCTGAAAATTGCAATGGAAATAATGAAAATTTCTAAAGATATCGGCTGAGAGATTTTTGTGGTTTATAAAAAAACATTTTTGAGTTCCTAAAGCTTTCATCCGAGCGTCAGACATACGATAAATTTCCAGGCATTTAAGCTGGGAATTCAGAGCTGATCTGCAATTCCTTAAACTATTTGCGCTTAAGATAACTAAAGAGTTTTTTTTTTAAGTTACAAATATTTTGAGATCTCAGCTCTTATCTTTTGTTTTTCAATTTTTTTATTAAAATTTTTTTTTTTATATTTTATTGAGTAAAAAATGTCTTAAAATCCTAATCACATATTGATCATTCATTCCTATTAACATTTTATAGCAATAACATTTTAAAAGCTAAACTTTTATTATAAGCCGCCGTGGAGAATTTCTAAAATTTATTATCAACATAAGATTAATATAGAAAATAAATCAAAATGGTGATGTTCTGTTTTATGTGTGCATATACATAACTATACGTAGGCTCCTACATCTATTAAGTAAGGTATATTTACATACATCTATATTCCAATATTCAAATTTATTCATCTAGTAAATTTGATGAAGTATACCATATTCCCCTGGTGAAGATAAATTGCCTAAGTGACCCATTCATTGGAGCATGACTCTGATCGCAACTCGAATTTCATTGTCTTTTATAAATGGGATAGATTGATAGCTTAAGTCTATAAATAGTATGCGCAACTATTAGAGAACATCTAAGAGCACAAGAAATGACTTTTCTGATCTTCAGAAAAATTTCTAGGCTGTAGCACAGCGTGCCTAGAAATTCCATCAAGTTTTACATGAAGCTGTCATTTAAAAGTTGATCCGATATTATATAATTATATGAGAATTATGAATAGTTTAGTATAGTATAGTATTTAAGATAGGTATTTTAGATTATTATATTATATATATAAATAGTTCAGTACATACTTTAGATATCTTCCAAAAGATCTTCAGTTCCACTCTTCTTCCAGCGTTTCATCTTGTGTCACAGTCTGCTATATGAAAGTCATCTTATCTTATCGTAAGACCCTAGCTCCTACTCTCATTTAAGTAAGAAAATCAACAAAGTTGCATCCCTGACACAAGAGAATGCTAAATTATAAATAAAACGTCTGATTAAATGATCCTCGCATCAGTCTTGCCGTTGGCCGAGCTGAAATCTGCGGCAAGTCGAGCTGAGGCATATCCGTTGCCATATTTGCATACATCTCGCTCAGCCTCTGCCCATTTTTTTCGTATTTTGTTTTTTGACAGTAATTGGCCTGCGGGCAACAAATTCAGATCACGTTAAGTCATTGGCGAGGGCACAAAATGCCGTCGCGGTTGCCACAGAAGCTGCAGCTGTAGCTGGATATGTGGAGA